ATTATAATCATTATAAAATAATAAATAAATAAATAAGGGGGTGGCTAATGGCACCCCTATCATGTGCTAATGCCACCCCTAAGTAGGCTTTAATCATTTGTGTTTTATAAATTTTTGTGTTTTTTTGTTTTTTTGTGATTATTACTTTTTATTTTATTATTAATTAAAGAAAATTTAAATTAATATATATTATTTATTTAATTTTCTGTTTTATTTATTTATTTATATTATATTTTAATTAATATAAATTATTAATAAATATATATTATTCATTTTGTTTTCTGTTTTTTATTTGTGTATATTTTATTTTCTGTTTTATTTATTTATTTATATTATATTTTAATTAATATAAATTATTAATANTCTAGTTTCACATAATGGTTACGGTTAACGTACCCAATTGCAAAACTTACATGTTGATACCATGGTGGGGTAGTAGACCTAAGCGGTAAGTATGTTGAACAACCTGTAATGTCTATAACGTGTAAGAGCACATTATACTTTGAAGCAATCAGGACACCAATTTCAGGCATGGTCATCCAATGTTTAACTGAGACACCTCGATCTAATTGAAAGAAGTTTAAAATATTGTAAACTATATTCCAATACTGACTTCCAAATATGTTGAGGTATTATGTCTTGTATGCGTCTAACTCTTCCATCAAGTTATACCGGATTGTTGGCCATGCATCTTCATGAAGACCAAGGTGGACAGCTATTGCTCGAAATCCACAGTTTCCATCACCTCTCACATCATGTACCTGTCTGATGTAAGGGTGAAACATTTCAGGAAATTGATTAATATATGGATGCGCATTATAATTATTGCCGACGAAAGAACTATGTCTCGMTGGTTCATGGTAGCTTATTTCATTCAAGTCAACAAATGATGATGCGTTCGAATAGCTACGTGTAAGGGGTCTTTCAACTGTAAAAGATGGATCAACATGAGCTGTAGAAGACGGATCAACATGAGCTGTAAAAGACGGATCAACATGAGGTTTCCTGAAAAGTTTATCCTTCAACGAGGGACGTCCACGAGTAGTCTTGTTAACAACTGGTTCACGAACCCACGTTTTTTGATGCATTGGTTATCTCTTTTATCTTCCTCAGAAAACTAAACTTACCAGATCTCGATTGTTTTTTAAATTCCTCGGTAAGAGTTTTAAGAGTTTAAGAGTTTTTAAGAGTTTTAGYCAAATGYTTTATAATATAGTATAGAWTAATAAATATATTTCTTTTATATCACATATATTATATAAATTATTAATAAACATTTCGTTATATATGTTTAGAGTTTTTTTTTAGTTTTTTCCTTTTTAAATTATTTAATAATAAATAAATACTTGTTAATATAAACATTACTATTATTTTTCTAAATAATTATATAATTAATAAAATAAAACATAAAAAATGAGATTATATCAATAAAGTAACATAATTTATATTACATTTTTTACTTATTCTAAACTAACATTATCTGTAGTACAATTAACAGGTAGAAGTTGTCGGTACTTATTTATTCGAGCTAAATACTGGGTAGTATAAATGAAAATTATGTATCTATACTATATTATAAAATATTTGACAAAAACTCTTAAAACGGTTTTTTATGCACGAAGTACTGTTTATTGATGCATATTACTTAAAATTTAAGATTACAAGTAATTTGTGCATAAGTACAACTTATTAAAGCTCTATACTTGAATTCGTTTAACTAACTACAGATAAACATAATCAAATATTGGATAAACATCTCGTTTTAAATATAAAAAATCTAAAATATAATTAGGATAATCATTATAACTAACAGATACATAGTTATTATCTTTATAAAAAATTATATTATTAAACCTAAATTAAATTTCTTTGTTACTAAATCTAAACTAAATTATGATTAAAAAATTTTAATTAAGGAAATTACACCAAAACACAATAACCTTTAGAAAGATTAATTTAATACTGATATCGATATTAATTTTTTTCAAAATTTTATGATATTTTAAAATTTATATTTTATTCAAAAATGAAAAATTATCGCTTTCTCAAAATCATATAAGACCATATTATAACATTGACTGAAATAAAGAATAAAATAAAATATTAATATCAGGATGTATCTCGTTGCATTATACGAATACCCTTCTGGTAAAATATATATATATATATATAATAGTTATATAATATAATTTAAAATCATAATAATATACAATGGATATATATATATATATATATGTGTGTATGTATATATATATAATAATAATAAGAATAATAATAGTAATAATAATAAAATATAATATGTTTGAGTTTGACATTTGATGGACTTAAAATAAGTTCAATTCCCGAGGCATTCAACACCCCCTATTGGGGGTGCCATTAGCACTTCCCATAAATAAACAAAAGAAAATCATGAAAGATTATTATAGTACGGATTCGAACCATTGCTTTAACTTTAAGTTAATGGAATTGTGACAACAAAAATTCTATCATCAAAAATTGGTAGGTGGCATCCTCAATATTATAACCATAAACAACTTTTAAAAAAAAATTATCTAAAAAAAATTAATAATATTTTATCTGTTAAACATATAATATTTTGTAACTAAAATATAGAATTGTTTGGTTGGTTTTTCATTAAGTTCTCTATGAATAAAGTTGTATGTGCAAATTAATTTATCTGTAGAGATTGCAAAAACTTTTGTTTGAGAGTATTTTTCATGGATGAAGAAAATATGTTTTTTTATTTGGAGGAAAAAGACTTGGCTTCTGCATAAAACTTCAACCTAAAAGTTTATTGAATAAGTCACTTTCTATATCATTAATGTATAACTGATCGAATAACTGTGAGTTTTATTAAGTTCACTAAAAACAAACATGTCATAAGCATGTCATACTCAAATATCATTTATTACAATTTTAGTGGAATACATGTTTTACTCATGGCTTTTGATCCATGTTGATCTTTGATGGCCTTTATCAAAATGGAAAAGTTACTTTGTTTACCAAAAGCTATGTAAAGTGAATATGACTTTGATATTTGTATTCACTTTACATTTTGTATGCAATAAAGTTGTAAACAAAAGAATGATTATGTAATCATCGGTTAATTTTGATACTCGTTTTCCTGGGGCTCTAATCGGTTAAAAAACGAACTCATGATCTGACTAGTGCAGCCTTTAAGGCTTTCGGTGTCTCTTCTTTTTGGTTTTGTTCTTTTTGGACCAGTGTTTGTGGCTATGTTGATAAGGATGGTGGCGTGGTCAGTTTAGATTCGATTGCTCCAGTTCACTTCGGTCCCTAACTTGTCGTGTCGCGGGGGGGGGGGGTGTTTGAGTTTTCTTTCTCCTTAAGGCAATGTTTGTCATGCTTTTATCGTGAGTTGTACTGGTGTTAATTTGACATCTTCTTGTCTAGTTGGCTTCGTAGGTGGGACTGGTATTTTTTGGGTTAAATTTTTGTTCATGTTTTGGCCTTTGTGTGTGTGTTTTTTGCATGGTTTGTTGTTGCTAGGGTTCTTTTCTGTCTTTTGGGTTTCTGCAAGGTTTCTATATCTTGCAGAAACTTGAACTTTTCCTGTTACCTTTTGGTTAAAAATGTTGTCTTTAAAAAAAAATCATCAAAAGAATTAACCATTAGCGAAAATGACGCATGTGACTCTGTCATTAAATAGCGATATCAAGAAATCATCAAGAAACTCACAATTAACAACTTGCATATCTATAAAAGATCTCAACACCCAATCAAAAAAATTGATTAAGGGGCCGTTTACATAATTCTTACTCGGGTAAGCGCTTAGTAGGTCCCATTCCCTTACCAAATGAGTATGACAAGAACCAAAAATCTTATCTGGTAAGAGCGAAGACAATGACATAGTGTTTTACCCGATAAGTGATGACGACAACTCTTACCATGGTTAACGTTTACCGAGTAAATTGTTACATACCATAACATTTTGCTAAATTAGAATCTTATTCGGTAAATAAACGATAAAGAGTTGAATTTTAAGAAGTAAATGGAGGCTAAAATGATTTGGTAGAGAAGGTCACCCAACCCCTAAGAAAGGAAAAATTTCTCACCTATTTAGAAGAAGATAATATATAATTATATATAAAATGGTATATTTTGTGGATTTTTAGGCCATTGGGACCACAATTCAAAGGTACAACTCCCAATAAATTATGTATAACTTTTTAATGCATGAATATGAAACTATGTTTAGTTTATGGGTTTTTTAGTTTCGAAATTAATAAGAATAGTTTTGACTGTCAAACGACAACGGTCACATTAAGCAACAAAATTCAGCAATTCGTTAATATTTTAAAAACCAGTAATTAAAATAATAATATTCTTTTGGAACATTTTTTGTTTGGAAGGTAAAATTTATTATATATTTTTCTTAAGCTAAATTTCTTAAAAACGAAAGAGATCGTTTACTTGCTAATTATATATATAATCGTGATTAAAGTACTAACACTTAATTATTGACTAGAATCTTTCCGTTAAACTACATGTGAAATTCAAATATAGATTTCTATTTAATTTTAGTGAATAGATTTTAAATATTTTATTAATAAAAAAGTTGTCACTTAAAAGATATAACTCTGAATAAAAATTATATTTATCAATATTGTTAAGTTTAGAGATTACAATGTTTTTATGTAATTAAAATAAAATATTATTTTTCTTTTCTTTTCTTTTAAACATTTAATTATAAGTTTCTTATTGTGAAAATAAAATAAAATAAAAGTATTTCTTTTTTAATAATAATCATTTAAAAAAAAAATCTTTTCTATTTTCTCTAATTTAAAAAAAATTCCAAGAATTTGTTTAGCAAAAATGCTATTTTTTCTATTGTTGGATTGGGAGGTTGGAGATTTGATTTATTTAATCTCGAGCGAAAAGAGCAGAAGGGGTGCCTGCTATACCACTATCTTTTAGGGTGGAGTTTCAATTATACAGAAAAAAGGGGTGTTTGTTTTTTTAGGGGACTGTAACTGTTGTTGCTAGTTACTACTGCTTCTCTTATCTCTCTCTCATCACCGGTTCCAAAGCTTGTAGATTTGGTATAGGTGGGAAGCCTCTTTCTATTTCCCAAGGCACAAATCTTGAAAAAAGATTGTGTTTTTTATGTGGGTTTCATTTTGATTTCCCTTTTTTGATAAATCTTTTATGTTAAAAGGTCTGTTCTTGATCTGCAACTAGCTTTTCTGTTTGCAACAAAGAACAGAAAAGAAAAAAGATATGGGGGAAGAGAAGCCTGAAGTTCTTGAAGCTGTTTTGAAGGAAACTGTAGATTTGGTAATGGATTTTGGATCTGTGTTTCCCATTGTATTTGTTGTATGATTATGGTTCTTTGTGGGTTTTCTTTTTTATGTTTAAATTTTGATTCTTTTGAGTAATTTTTGCAGGAAAGCATACCCATTGAGGAGGTTTTTGAGAATCTGAGATGTAGTAAAGAGGGTCTTACCAACTCTGCTGCTGAAGAAAGATTAGCCATTTTCGGGCATAATAAGCTTGAGGAGAAGAGGGTGCGAAACCTAGTTTTAAACTTGTTTTTTAATCMGATTTCGTATACGTTTTGTTTCCAAATCTTGAGTTATGACTATTAATGCCTCTTTATGCTTCTTTTTTGGTGTCTGTTTTAGCCAATCTGTGCAAATTCTTGAAGTTTATATGAAATGGGTGTATCAGGAGAGCAAAAGCTTGAAAATTTTAGCAAATTCCTGAAGTTTTAGGGTTCTTTTTTGGTGTCTGTTTAGCCACTGTGAATTCTTGATGTTTGTACGAAATGGATGTTTTCAGGAGAGAAAATTCTTGAAGTTTTTAGCAAATTCTTGAAGTTTATATGAGATGGGTGTTTTCAGGAGAGCTCTTGAAGTTTTTAGGGTTCTTTTTGGTGTCTGCTTAGCCACCAGGTGGGAATTCTTGATGTTTATATGAAATGGGTGTTTTCAGGAGAGCAAATTCTTGAAGTTTTTAGGGTTTATGTGGAATCCCTTATCATGGGTCATGGAAGCTGCTGCTATTATGGCTATTGCCCTTGCCAATGGAGGAGTAAGAATTTTCAAACAGAATCCAAATTACTTGTTTGTCCTTTCGAAAACCCTAATTGAATCGAATTTTTGCAGGGAAAGCCTCCTGATTGGCAGGACTTTGTGGGTATTATAACTTTGCTCATAATCAACTCCACCATTAGTTTTATTGAGGAGAACAACGCCGGTAATGCCGCGGCTGCTCTCATGGCCCGACTTGCCCCAAAAGCCAAGGTATTGTATCATTTATGTTGCCATAATTTCGATGATTTGAGATAGTTCGTGGGCTGAATGATTTGTTCTTGATTTATGGTTATGAATTGTAAAGATTCTACGAGATGGCCGATGGAACGAAGAAGATGCCGCCATGTTAGTGCCTGGAGATATAATTAGTATAAAACTTGGAGATATTATCCCTGCAGATGCTCGTCTGCTCGATGGCGATCCTTTAAAGATTGACCAGGTGGGCATTCTACTTGTTGTATGATTATTTTGTCGTTCACACTTTTGCAAAGTTGGGGTCTTTCACGTAAACAATTGTTCTACTCTTTGGGTTCGAGGTCAAGTTGTTTGGGTGGTTTTCCACCAAGTCGTGTACGTATAAAGCTGTCCTTGTCGATTAATTTGGGAAGGTTTTGGTTTTCTGTTATTTGTTTTTTGTTTTTTGTAAGGCCTTTTCATAGATGGAATGAGCTTGTCTTTTAATGGGGAGAGGTAGGTTTAAAAAAAACTTGCCTTTTTGCATAAAGCTCCCTCCTAAAAGGTTATTGAATAAGCCACTTTCTATATTATCAAGCCATTACCAAACAATCATGTATAACTGACGAAATAAGTATTTTTTGATTGGGAGGGGTAGGTTAGAAAAAAACTTGGCTTTCTACATAAAGCTCCCTCCTAAAAGCTTATTGAATAAGCCACTTTCTATATCATTAAGCCACTACCAAACAATCATGTATAATTGACAAAATAAGCTGCAAGTCTCATTAACATCATGCTTACAAACGGGCTGTTACATTCCACCCTCCTAGACCCTCTTTTCGAGAAAGATATACTGGGTTTGCTTGGATTGACTCCTTATACGGGATATACTGAGTTTGTTTGGTTTGGCTCCCTAAACGGATATACTGAGTTTGTCTGGTTTGGCTCCTTGGCACTGCTTTCAAGTGGGATATGCTGCCTTCGTTTCCAGAGTTTTGTATTGAACCTATCTTGTTCGGTTTTGTAGTCAGCTTTGACAGGTGAGTCCCTCCCAGTAACCAAAGGCCCTGGGGACGGTGTGTATTCTGGTTCGACTTGCAAACAAGGAGAGATTGAGGCGGTTGTGATCGCCACTGGGGTTCATACGTTCTTCGGAAAGGCTGCTCATCTTGTCGACAGCACAAACCAAGTTGGTCACTTTCAAAAGGTAAGCACTAAAAAGATGCCGGCTTTTACCTTAAAGATTTACGGGTTTTTTTTCAAGATTTACTTTCGTTTGTAATCTTGGAATTTCTGTATTTTCTTGTTTGTTTATCATTTCCTGGTTTTCAAGATTTACGAATTTGTTTGTAATGTTGTTAGGTCTTGACGGCAATCGGGAATTTCTGCATTTGTTCTATTGCCATCGGAATGGTGATAGAGATTATTGTAATGTTTCCAATTCAAGATCGTCAATATAGGCCAGGAATCGATAATCTTCTTGTGCTCCTTATCGGAGGAATCCCCATTGCGATGCCCACGGTTCTTTCTGTAACAATGGCCATCGGATCTCATCGCTTAGCTCAACAGGTTTCTTTTATTACGTTATCTTTCTTTTCTTGAACTCCTTATTTTTGGAGATACTTTTTTTTTCAATTTAGTTATGCATATGGTTACTACAGGGGGCAATTACGAAAAGAATGACCGCCATTGAAGAGATGGCAGGCATGGATGTGCTTTGCAGCGATAAAACCGGAACTTTGACTCTGAACAAGCTGACCGTAGATAAAAATCTCATCGAAGTTAGTTTGTAGATGCTTTTTTGTCTTCTTTTTACCCTTTATTTTGTCGTTACTTCTTCTTTGACTTTCGAAGTGACTTAACTTCTCAGGTGTTTGCAAAAGGAGTAGATGCAGATACAGTCGTTCTGATGTCGGCTCGAGCCTCCAGAACCGAAAACCAGGATGCTATCGATGCTGCAATAGTCGGTATGCTGGCTGATCCGAAAGAGGTAATATATTGAGGACGAAGGAGTATTTAATTTGGGCCGAAGGGAATTTTTGTTTTCTTTATTTATATCGTCGTTTTTGTTTGCTTTGTATTTTTGTAGGCTCGTGCCGATATTCAAGAGCTTCACTTTTTGCCGTTTAATCCTACCGATAAGCGCACGGCATTGACGTATTTGGATAATCAGGGTAAAATGCATAGAGTCAGCAAAGGTGCTCCTGAGCAGGTCTGTGTGTGTGTCTCTGTATCTATATATGTATCTATCTACCAGAACACAAACGATATCACGATAAAAGAATCGAACATTTGGATACCCTTTTGATTTCTATCGTTTTTATATCGATTTAGATCTTGAATCTTGCACACAACAAATCAGACATAGAACGTCGAGTTCATGCCGTCATTGATAAGTTTGCAGAGCGAGGGTTAAGGTCACTTGCTGTGGCATACCAGGTGATTAAGGATGTTTTCCATAAATAACGTTTCTTTTGCAGTTTATGATTTGTGTTTATGTTTTGATTGTTGATTTTGGTTGTCACAATAGGAAGTTCCGGAGGGACGGAAAGAGAGTCCCGGAGGACCATGGCAGTTCATCGGTCTCATGCCTCTCTTTGATCCACCACGACATGATAGTGCCGAGACAATTCGAAGGGCTTTGAATCTTGGAGTAAACGTTAAAATGATTACAGGTGCATTTTGTTTTAGTCTTGGGGTGTATTTTAGCCAAACCGAGCCTTAGCTCGCTCGTTTCGTGAACAAAAATAGGAGCCTCAGAATTGGTTTGTGGTTATCCAGCTTGAAAAACCTACGTACATTTGATGGCGGATTTTAGCCAACACAAGCCTGAGCTTGCTTGGCTCGAGGATCTCATAAAAAATTGGTAGTTTGGGGTGGATTATATCATTTTTCAATTGCTAAACGTTACGAGTTGGATTAGGGGATCAATTGGCGATTGGGAAAGAAACCGGACGACGTCTCGGAATGGGAACCAACATGTATCCTTCCTCTGCTTTGCTCGGACAAAACAAAGACGAGTCGATTGCCGCTTTACCGATTGACGAGCTCATAGAGAAAGCTGATGGTTTTGCCGGCGTTTTCCCGGGTATATTTTTCTATTTTGACTGGGATTTACTTGGTTAGTTTGGTTTGGTTTTGTGATGAAAAGGGAATCGATATAAGTTTAATGTTATATGTATCTTCACGATTTGTTTCAGAACACAAATACGAAATCGTAAAGCGTTTACAAGCTAGGAAACACATATGTGGAATGACTGGAGATGGAGTAAACGACGCTCCCGCTCTCAAAAAAGCCGATATCGGGATTGCCGTGGCTGACGCAACCGATGCAGCCCGTAGTGCCTCCGACATAGTCCTCACCGAGCCCGGACTTAGTGTCATTATCAGTGCCGTTTTGACCAGTCGGGCCATCTTCCAAAGGATGAAAAATTATACGGTAACGTCCATTTATTTCTTTTAGTTTTTTCGAATACATTTGTGGAAACTAATTGTATTTGGCTTTTTGCAGATTTATGCAGTTTCAATCACCATTCGTATTGTGGTAAGTTATTTCGTCCCATCACTGCTAGAGATGCATAAAAAAGCCCAAACCCAAATCCCGGCCTGAAAAGCCCGATCAAGCCAACTTGTTTTCAAGGCTCGGTTAATGCCCGGACCTAAAAAGCTCGACCATGCCCTCTTTCAACCGGCCCGTCCCATAAAATCCCGGGATTTTTTGGGTTTACTGAAAATGGGCCTGGAAGGGCAGCGCCCATGCTCGAAAATCCCAGGCCTTGTGCACTTCTAATTATTCAAAGTGTGTTTGTATAATCTTGATGTTTTGTGGTTATTTTGGTTCGTGTCAGCTCGGTTTTATGCTGCTGGCCTTGATATGGAGGTTCGACTTCCCGCCATTCATGGTTCTTATCATCGCAATCCTTAACGACGGTTTGTGTCTTTTTCTCGGGTTTTTACTGTATAGTTTCTGCACCATATATCGTGAAAATCTCACAAGCCATCGTGTTTGGTTTCAGGAACCATAATGACGATATCGAAGGATCGAGTGAAGCCATCTCCTCTTCCCGATAGCTGGAAACTGGCGGAGATTTTCGCTACTGGCGTCATTCTTGGTAGCTACTTGGCCATGATGACGGTTATATTTTTCTGGGCGGCGTATAAAACGGACTTCTTTCCGGTTAGTACGTTTTATACTTGCATATAATGGAACATTTTTTTTAAATGTTTTTATTCATTAGTTAAGTAATTTGGTGGCCGTTTGATGGTCGAGAAAACGAGAACCAAATAACGACATACCAAACTCCCATAGTCTTCGAATCTTCAATGTAAATTGGTTCCAACTGTTTTTGGTTTTTGTTTACCGAACTCAAATCTCTAATGCATCACCAGCGTACATTTGGCGTGCCGACCCTCGAGAAAACGGCTCATGATGACTTCCGAAAGCTCGCTTCCGCAATATATCTTCAAGTCAGCACGATCAGCCAAGCCCTCATTTTCGTGACTAGGTCTCGTAGCTGGTCGTTTGTTGAACGTCCCGGTTGGCTGCTTGTTATCGCTTTCGGTATTGCCCAATTGGTACGCTATATTTAACGACCCATCTCTCTTCCCGGAATTACAAACGTACGAGCAATAATCATAATCATTATCTTTTTCGGTTTATACCAGATTGCTACATTAATCGCGGTTTATGCCAATTGGAGCTTTGCGGCAGTCGAAGGAATCGGATGGGGATGGGCCGGTGTTATCTGGCTCTACAATATCGTCTTCTATTTCCCGCTTGATCTCATAAAGTTCTTTATCCGATACGCTCTCAGCGGACGGGCCTGGGATCTTGTCATTGAGAGGAGGGTACGTTTTACTATCCCGAAAATAAGTGTCCAATTTTTATTTATTTATACATGTTCCAAAATAAGTTTTTACTTTCATAAATAGATGGTTATAATTATAAATTTCCAGGACTCCATAATTTTTTATTAAGGGTAAAATTGTCAATTAAAATGCATGGTAATTGTATTACTAAAACTGTGATCTTTTTATTGTCGATGTTTATATTTTGATATAAAATCGGGTGAAAACGTTCTTTCTTTTTGATCGGTTTTTTCGGTTTCTCAGATTGCATTCACGAGACAAAAGGATTTTGGGAAGGAACAACGTGAGCTCCAATGGGCTCATGCACAACGAACCCTTCATGGGCTTGAAGTTCCCGACACCAAAATGTTTGTCGACCGCACCAACGTCACCGAGCTCAACCAAATGGCCGAGGAAGCCAAACGGAGAGCCGAAATCGCAAGGTATGTTTTGCCAAATCCTTTGTACATTATTCATCAACAGTTCTTTGTTATATTGTTGTTTGTTAGCAGCTTAACGAGCTTAACAAGACTCGCAACTTATTCGGTCATCTATGCATGACTGTTTGGTAGTGGCTTAATGATATAGAAAGTGACTTATTCAGTAAGCTTCTAGGGGGAATTCTATGCAGAAAGCCAAGTTTTTTCCAAACCTGCCCCTCGAAGTTAAAAAACACGATCCTTCTGTCTATGAAAAAACCCTTCCAAGAAAAATTAATCCACACAAACAGCTTTATCCATACAAAACTTAATGGAAAACCAACCAAACAAGTACACAATTTCACAAACTGGGAGTCTTTCATGGAAACAACAGCTCTACATTTTGTGTAGAAGTCAAGTCTGCATGTATTGTACCCACTTCTTTATAGGACATGCATTTGTTTGATCTTATAAACTTAAGTCCTATAAAGCAGTCTATTAGGACATTTAGACATATTTTATGTGTTATAAAGTCAATTTTGTTGTAGTGTACTTTGATTATGGTGTAAAATCTTGGTTCGATTCTTTTTTTGTTTCCCGTTTTTGCCTTTCTTTTTATTTTTTTGATTGGTGTTCGGGCTCTTTGTTAGGTTGAGAGAATTGCACACGTTGAAGGGTCATGTTGAATCGGTGGTTAGACTTAAAGGTCTGGACATAGAAACGATCCAGCAAGCGTACACCGTCTGAGACAGAGGTACACATCTAATATCACAATGTACAAGAACCATGAGGATCGAGACACGATCGGCGTTAGTTTTCGAGTTACCTTTGAAACAGTCGTTTTTTCCTGCGGTTATTTTTTTTTATTTTTTTTCCGTCTTGGCTCGTGATCCCGTACACTTGTGAACTGGGAAAAAGAGAACCTTTTATGCTGTAATTCGTTGTGCATATGAAGAAAGGCTTTTGGCTTCGTGGTTTTCGGGCTTTCTGCGCCTTCGGGTGCTGTTCGGATTTGTACGTTTGTCACTTGCGATCTCCGAAATATTTCAATCATCTATTACAACTTTTCTATTCCCTCCATGTTTCCTCAATAAGACGTCCACTCTCTCTCTCTCTCTCTCGCATAATTTAAAGAGTTCAAATAAAAAAGTTAAATATCGTGAGAAGGTAGAAAAAGGAAAACTAGTATGTTCAAGGCTCGGACTTCTCAGCCCTGGTCTTCCAAACCCATTTCAGTGAGCCGGGTTTTTTGGGCTTATCTAGGCTGGGCTTTTTGGCCAGGGCTTAGGCCGAGGCTTGCACAAAAAATATCGGCCTTATCAGGCTTTGAGGCTTGCACAAAAAATATCGGCCTTATCAGGCTTTGAGGCTTGCTTGGGCGGTTGGACCCGACTTATTGGGCTTGGGCTTTATTGGGTCGGTTTGGCCAAGCTTAGGTTCTTTTGTACATCTGATCTCTATATGAACCTACATGATTAATAATAATATGTAACGTTGATTCACATATGGATATTGAATTACATTTTTTCCCCAATGATTATATATTTAACCTGACCTCATATATATATATATATATGTGGTGAGAAGGAAAGTTATGGTAAGAAACGATCTCCACTCTGTCAATCCTAATTAACTTTAATGAGGTGTACCGAGATGAACCGAATATATTCCCTTCTAAAACGCAATTCATGGGTGGTATGAGATTAAAAGTGATCAAAAGTTCAGATATTTTTTTACGATTCTCACCATAACTTTCTTTCTCACATCCTTCACCTATGTGTGTGTGTGTGTGTGTGTGTATAGGTGAAGAATCGTGTGAAAATGAGAGTTAAGATGAGAAGTTTTAACATGAGATCTGGACCTTTAATCACCTTTAATCTCAAGCACATCAATGAATGACGCTTGATATGGGGATTGACTTGGAACATCTCATTTTAATGTGCATTTAAGGGTGAAGATCCATTTTTATGCTTCTCACCTTAACTCTTATTTTACCGGAATCCAACCCTATATATATATATATATATATATATATATATATATATATATATATATATACACACACGCACCCCTACAATTATAGAAGTCAGTGGTGGACCTATGAACACCCTTAAGCTAACATGTGCCATTGTTGGATTCATTCATTTTAATGGAGAAAAAGAGTTGGGTTCTTAAAAGATGTAATCATAATGTTTCATTATGTGTCCCTATATATGTTAAAAACTAAGGTGGCGTTTGTTTTTTAAGAGGTGCTTAAGTCTGAAGTCTGAATTCACTTCTGAATTTTAAGAGGTGGTGCTAAAGTTTGAAATCTGAATCAGTCAGACTGTTTGTTTTTACGTCTGAAATCTGAATCATTGAAATCTAGGCTTTCTTTGCAAGCATTGGAAGCTCTAAAAGCAATTAAGAGGTTTTAAGTGAAAATGTTACCTCTAAATAATTCAGACATAATCAGAGCTTTTAAGCTCTTAATTGAAAAAAAAAACAAACACACTTAATACCCTAAGGTCTGACCGATTCAGACATAAGAGGGTATTAAGTGCTTTTTAGGTAAAAACAAACAGGGTCTAAGTTTACAACAAGAGTTTGCAATAGTTAAGTTATTCTAAGGTGTCTGGTTTTCAAGTTTCTCTCTCAGAGGATGCAGGTTCAAACCCAAATTATCACAAACTTTATATTTTTGTCTTTTAATTTTTGATTTTTATAGCTTTTGGTTTAATTCTTTTTGGAGGAAAGTCGTTGTACAATGGATTAACATGCAACCTTTGCTTTTAAACGCAACAACCTAATCAAAAAATATATTATGATTTTGTAAAAAATATCTCTGACTTTTATTCGTGTGGTAAAACTGTGCCATCAATTTTTTTATCCAATTTTTTTATATAACAGTCTAGTTACATTTATATAACCATCCTCTATAGTTACGCATTGGCTGTATAACTTAACACATGTTGAAGATTACTGATACATCAGATCCATAGTTACGTATTGGCCAATGACCAAAATGTCATTGGCCCCAAGGTATGCATGTTACTGATAGATTAGATCCATTTTAAAGGTCTAAGGTTCGCTCCTCGGAATGTGAGTAGTGTCGTATATCAATATTATATTTTTCAAAAAAACATTTGATGACATGATACCCCTTTAAAAACATTTCATGCCTCAGAATGTGAGTACTGTCATTGTATATCATTTCTGCGTAATCAAATGTTATAAGATGAACAAGTTACAGTTAAAAAGGGGGGAAAATAGGCAATTTCAAATCAAAATTACATTAAATATAAAGGAAAATTGCACCAAAATGGAACCAACGTTCACCTGATTTCTATTTTGGGGAACCAACTTTCAAAATCGTCATTTTGGGGAACCAACTTTCACCTGATTCCTATTTTGGGGAACCAACTTTCAAAATCGTCATTTTGGGGAACCAACTTTCACTTGATTTTTATTTTGGGGAACCAACTTTCACCTGATTCCTATTTTGGGGAACCAACTTTAAAAATCGTCATTTTGGGGAACCAACTTGGACCTGATTCCTATTTTGGGGAACCAACTTTCAAAATCGTTATTTTGGGGAACCAATTTGGACCTGATTCCCAATTTGGGGAACCAACTTTCAAAATCGTCATTTTGGGAACCAACTTGCATTTTATTCCTATTTTAGGAAACCAACTTGCAAAATAATTATAGAAAAATAACTAAAATTCTTTTCTTTTCAAAAATTAATGCAATAAAATCTATTTTTCATTTCAAATCTCGTTTTTTTAAATTCAGATATCAAATTGAAGATTTTTCGAAAAAAATCCAAATTACCACGATAAAAAATGTTTTTTACTAATGCAATAAAAAATCAATTTAATAGAAAAAAATTAATTGATGCAATAAAAAATAAATATTAAATATCACATTCAAGATTTTTATATCTAACCAATATGTGTCAATATTAAAGTTTAAATAAAATTTGGCAAATCCAACCAAAAGTTTGATAGAGACCCTTAAATTATCTGTTACCTGTTCAACAGATCAATCAGACCCTTAAATAAACAAAAAGTTCGATAGAGACCCCTAAATGACGATTTTAACAGTTGGTTCCGCAAAATATGAATTAGGTGAAAGTTGGTTCCATTTTGGTGTAATTTTCCCATTTTTCTATAATTATTTTTCAAGTTGGTTCCCCAAAATAGAAATTAGATGCAAGTTGGTTCCCAAAATGATGATTTTGAAAGTTGGTTCCCCAAAATAGGAATCAGGTGAAAGTTGGTTCCCCAAAATGACGATTTTGAAAGTTCGTTCCCCGAAATGGGAATAATATGAAAGTTGGTTCCATTTTGGTGCAATTTTCCCAATATAAAATTTTAAAACTTTATTACATTGATTGAGAAAAATAATTTTAATAAATTGAATAAGAATGAAGATAACTTCGTTAAATTTTGATATAATTTGTTTATTTTAAGGTGCATTTGGTATTCAGACATGATAGAACAGAACATGACATGCATGACAAATGTTTTTGGTAAAATGAGTTTGGACATGACATTATTGGTAAAATCAACAATTTACTGCTAATGAGTTGCTTATATCTTTTTTATATTTTGATTAATTTATATAATTTACTAAATTATAATAAAATAAATATTTTTATAATAAAATATATTATTAGAAAATTTTTGTCAAGAAGATTAAAGTCTCACCAAAATACGAAGTTCATTAATTTTCAATGTTTATTTTATACCTTTTATATATTAACTTTTATTATCAATATTAAATAAATTACATAAATTAACCAATATATATATAGAGAGGTTGATTATTATACAACCATTGACATTTGTAACCAATACAACCCAATCTCAACCGTCCATTTCATTTGATTAATATGTGATTTCATAGAGGCTTTTATTGTTTTTTAATATAAAGTATCGATCATAATTAATGAACCATATTCATCTTCCATAAATTTTCAAATCAGAATAAATAAACTCTCATCATTTCCATAAATATTTCAATATATTGGGTTGCATTGGTTGTACAAATACGATTGGTTGTATTTGAAACAAACTCTCTCTCTCTCTCTCTCTCTCTATATATATATATATATATATATAACATATAAAAAAATATTTTGAAGATAGTATAAAATATAAAGAGAGATATATATATTTGATGTTTTAGAAGAGAAATGAATAAATTTGAAGGTATATTGGTTAAATATAGATTTGTTCCACCTTGTTTCTTGGGATGAAGGACGGAATACGCCTGTTACACTGTGCTTACTCTGTTCCTATTTGTTTGATATAAAAATAATGCTAACCATAAAACATTGATCATTATTTTATTCTAAGATGTGTTGTTCAGTATACCAAACAGACCGTTAATTATATCTTATTGTCCTTCTCAAACTCGAATCGTGTTAATAGAATAATTTTTATACCTACTTCGTTTTTGACACCTCATCCGTTCTAAGAAAATGAGTTACAAAACCGTATCTTTTTCTCGGATCATGAATACCGCTTTCACCCAAAAACTTTTTTTTTTATATAACTTGTTACTTTCTTATAATAAAAACAGATAATATCAATTTTAAATAGAATAATAAAATACGTGTGTAAGTTTAATTTACCACATATAAATAGTATATAGAGTAAACTACAAATTTAGTTCATGAGGTTTGACAAAAATAATAGTTTTTGTTCTTAGTTTTGAAATTAAAAGATGACCATCGTGGTTCGTAAAAATGTTTGATTTTGGTCCTTATCTTTAACGGTCGTTAAAAAATTATGCTAAATGAGAGATATTTTCGTTCTTTTATCGATTTTTTTTTGTATTTTACACAACCAAAATGAACTTTATGGAAAATGTTTGTTTTGTACCGATGTGATATAATACCAACATCCACTAATTGTCTAATACAAGCGGCTAAAGAGGAGCGGCGATGGACCAAATGGGTGTGGACGTGTTACAAAAGTTGTTTGAGTTTAACATTAATCAAATTTGGTCCATGTGATTTGACAAAAATAACAAATTTCCTCTTACAATTTCGAAATTATATGATGACTATCGTGGTTTGTAAAGACGTTAGGATCTGGTCCATTTTTCTATCAATTGTTAAAAAATTCTGTTAGATGATGGGTATTTTTGTCATTTTATTGTTTTTTACCAATTAAAAAAAAACAAGGGCCAAAAATCATTAAATTAATTTTCATCAGGTGAAACATAAAAAATCGATAAACGGATGAAAATGCCTTATTTTTAACGTAATGTTTAAATGACGGTTAGAGAGATGAGCCAAACACGAACATTTTTTTTATTAACTCATCCAACTCGTTATGCGAGTCGACTAATCCGAGGACGATCATTTGCTTTGCAAATAGCCCGGAGTCACTGCATTTGAACCTCCGTGGCCAAAAGAGATTTTTATTTTTCATTGGATTTGAACCTGAAACCTCTTGATACTTTTGACCTTTAAAGTCAAGATCAAATCAATCAAAAACCACCATTTGGTTAACACGAATATTTTTAGAAACCATAGTAAACATATGTAATATCAATAATACACGACAAAAAAGTATTATTACTGACAGGTCACGGACCAAATTTATAGTTTACCCAAATAACATTTTACTGCGACTATTACTAAAATAAAATTATTATTTTATTAATTATGTACTTTTAGAATTGTATACATGATTTAGGATAACGTGAGATAAATAATTTTTTGTGAGATTCGTAAGACCAATTCTCAACCCTTAGATTAGATCTACAATCGTTAGATTTGAACATTCATAAACGCCATGAGACTTCTTAATAATTACAAAATTGTCACCGCACAACTTTAAATCATTACATCATATATTTATAAAGTTGATCAATGAATATAAATTGGTCTTACAGGTCTGACGAAAAGTTCATAATCTCACGTCAACCCCTGTATATATTTCTTTTTTATTTAGTATTTAAAGGTATTGAAAAAGCTCGATTCTTTGGAGAAGAAGATGGCAGAACCAGTGTTGAAACTCGACGGCAAAATATCGATAATCACCGGCGGTGCAGGCGGAATCGGAGAAGCGACGGCGCGTCTCTTTGCCAACCACGGCGCGTTTGTCATCATCGCAGATATCCAAGACGAACAAGGTCGGCAAGTAGCAGATTCAATAGGCTCACAACGCTGCACCTACATCCACTGTGACGTCGCCGACGAACAGCAAGTCATCTCCGCCATCAATTTCACCGTCGATACTTATGGTCGATTAGACATCATGTTCAGCAACGCCGGAAAAGTGAGCAGTTCCGACCAGACGGTTCTCGATCTCGACCTACCACAATTCGACAGCCTCTTTGCCGTCAACTGCCGTGGAACCGCCGTCTGCGTGAAGCACGCAGCGCGAGCAATGGTGGAGAAAAGCGTGAGAGGTTGCATCATCTGCACGGCGAGCGTCGCCGCCTCGAGAGGAGGAAGTATGCGGACGGATTACGTGATGGCGAAGCACGCAGTGGTCGGATTGGTGAGATCGGCGAGCAAGCAGCTCGGTGTGCACGGAATAAGAGTGAACTGTGTATCGCCGTCGGCGGTGGTGACGGGGTTGTCGAAGAGGACGACGGAGGAGACGAAGAAGACAATGAAGGTATACGAGGCACTAACGAGCTTGAAAGGGATCGAATTGACGGTCCGGAGAGTAGCGGAAGCGGTATTGTTTCTTGCGTCGGACGATTCCTCCTTTATCACCGGCCATGATCTGGCGGTGGACGGCGGGCTGCAAAAACTTCCGGACGTTGATGACGTCATCATGTACAATCGTTGATGAACAAGGTAGTTGTATGCCATTTCCTCTTAAATTATTAAATAAAATTGGGTATATTATCGGGAATAAAAATACTTTGCTTTCTTTCTATCAACGTGTGTAAAGGTAGGAGATGGATATTAGGGGTGATCAAAACCCGATAAATCTGACCAACTTAACCAAACACGAAATAATTCAACATGAAGTAATCTGATGTCTAATCGAGTTGTAAAATTTTCAAACCGTATGTATTGAGTTGCTATTATTTGAACCCAACCCAAACCGATGAACCCGATATCCTTTTATTTTTTGGATTTAATATGATTGTTGAATTTCTATTACTATGTACATTAGATAATTACACTATCATGTATGCTTTTCATATACACATATTTTCAATCTATTCAAAACTTTATATAACTCATTCGTATATATGTTCAGTAACTGTGAACATATATATGTAAATTGAGAAAATTAACTGAATGTAATATATGTAAGAAGTTTGGATAAGTTGTATAAAATGGTTGATGATGAAAAATAAATTATAAGTAGAGAAATAACATATTCTAGGTTTGAATAATATTTTAATGTACCAAAATATCAACCCGACGAACCCGTATGAGTTGGGTTGAGTTGTTCAAATGTCTTCAACCCAATCAACCCAACCCGTAAGAGCACCCTAATTGATATTAATGAATAAAGGATTGTTTACTTATAACTGAATGAGCTTAATTAATTGTGTTGGTGAATTATGATTAATCGTTATTACAACACCATGCATTTGATAATGCCTAAGGTTATATTTTGCGACACATGTAATTTTAATTTTTTGTATTCGCCAACAACTTTATCGAATTATTAATGGACTCGACCATTACTCTCGAATATGGATAATATGTACGTATCTGGAGATGCGCAACGACCGTGTTGGGACCGGAAATTGGGATGGGGACCGGTAATGCTCGGTAGGGAGTCGGGACTGATTTAAACATTGCCGATTAAGGCCCGATTACACGTTTTGGAAAAACTGAGGCCTAGTCTGGGCTCAGTTGCAACTTGTACTGATCGATCATTTGCTATCAAATTAAGTGCTAGTTATTTTATTTATCATATATGTAATTACTGTAAAATTTTGACGATGTATCATCTGTATTATTCATAAATTTCCAAACTCTCTCTAGAGTCCAACACAATGTTATAGTAAGCTTTATTTTTTTGTATTTGGTTACGTATAATTACGTAACCCATGATCAAGTTTATTTTTATGCTAATCATTATAATATAAATAAATGTTCATTTCTATTCTATCGCATTAAATAATTATTTCATGTCTTAAGTACCATAAGTCGTTACATGTTACTGTCGGGAAATTTTTGTCCATTGTTATTCTTCACACCGAATAATTATTTGATGCTAAAAATTCAATAAGTTGTTATACGTTACTATCGAGAAATTTGAGTTACTATGCTGAATAAGGACGCCTGTATAAAAATATGCCACATGAGGTCATGGTTCCTAAATGGCCATATGTGACCCGAGCATGCAAGTAGATCTTTGTTCAGTTAGCCCAATCCCTTTTTCAATTAACACTCGATTGCTACGATCAAGATACTCGAGTCACAAATAATTTACTGAAATTTACCAATCTTTCTGTTCGATCACCAATTTACGAGCGAAGCTCGCCAAATGTAAGTCGTAGCAACCTGAGTTCATGACGTCGTGTCACCAATCGAAGTCGCCTCAGACTGCTGAGCATCATCAAAATTTGACGACGTGAGTAATTTGAAAGGAAAACTTAAGAAATATAGTTTTTTAATAAATTAATCTTGAAGCATATTTTCAATATGAAAGACATCATCGAGCATAGAAACTCAAATATGGTTGCGTCTGTGGTGTGTCCGTGTGGCTTTGTGGAATTGTGGGCCGTAAACTTTTTCCAAAACATGTCGAAACTTTTAAGAAATTTACAACTTAACAATTTTAAATTTTTTAATCACAATTGGCAACTCGGTACTCAAGAGATTATTATACTAACCCCCCTTGTTTATATACTAATTACGATAACAGTCCTTGTATTCATGAAACCACATGGCGATATGCAATTTATACTTTAGACTTTATAACTATTTATATCAAGGTTCTAAATGGCGTGAGGTGTGATGTGAAGTTGAGGTCAAGCTTCAGAGGTTAGCTACCACCGCAAAACCACAACTTTTTCATGATGTAACGTATGACAACAAATATGTGTATATTATATATATAGACATACACAAATGTTTGTACCATTATTCAATTAGTCAAAGATATTAAGCGATTAAAATTAAGTAATATGCTAGAAACTAAAAAATACGAAAAAGTAAAAAAAAAAAAATCAAATAATGTCTTGCATCAAACCATGGTGTGCCACAAGTTTAATGTGGTGTCAGGGACAAGTTTTGAGCAATGACGCCTAAAGTGGCGAGCCTTTTAGAATAATAGTTTATATGCACAGACTATAAACGTCATTTAATTTTAAAAAGAGAGTATCCAAAAAACATTGTATCCATAGATGGAACTTGGATGCTTACGAGTAATTGTTAGCATACTTTGGCAATGGCTAATTCCAAATAGTCATAACTTATAGGACATGAATGCACGCATGCACGTGCACACACACATATGCAAGATTAAATGAAAAGGTGACCAATTTGCTGGAGAACGTGATGTTTCAAGATCCTATGTGATTACAGAGTAAAATCATATGTGATACAACATGTTCAAAAAGACGAACAATAATTATATGGGTATTATCATTCTCAGTACCATTACCATTTCCTAAACCTTGATTTGTGCTTAAGCAACTTGTTTCGTAAATGTATCTAAAATTGTTATATGATTTATATAAAGACAGAACAATAATATTTTATTTGTAATTGTTTTTATGATAATCTTTATAGTTAAACACATACAAAAACCAACATACGATCGGTTAGAATCTCTATTCTACCAAATACCAACTCAATTATTTCCGTCAATAATTATAAGGGTATTTTAATCATCTTATAAAAAGAAGTTGTATGAATTTGTATTTCCATGACTTAGAGTGGTTCTTTATGTGATTTTGCAGAAAATGTAATTGCAAGGAATATTCTCACCATTGACTTTATTATAAACCATATATTGTATACATAATTATTATATATATATATAATTTTTGTATTGATTTATTAAAGTAAAGAAAGACGCAGTACCAAGAGGTGTAACACCTGCAACCTGAAACCCCAGCACAATTTGATATCCGATTTGGAATCATATGAGACAAGATTATTTTCGTAAAACATGTAATATTTTTACATTTAAAACTTAACAGTAAAATACTGTGATATAACTTTAAAACATTTTGTTATGAAATTTAAATGTACTTGATCTCTCACAACAACAACCTTGTCGGACATGAACCAACTCTTGGTCGTCGGAACCTTTGTAATTAATTTGCCAAACATATCGTTTTCGATTTTATCAAGTGGGTGGGTGGGTGTTGGGTTCCTCCTATAAAGAAAGGTCTGCCATCTGCATAGTATCTATCTATCTCCTACCTCATTCTTTCGATCTTGGTCTAGCAATCATCTTGATCAGGTAAACCCCTCTTTCCCTCCTTCCAATTTGAATTTGGATGACAAGGGTTTCGTGCTTTTTTGTTAACTGATGCTCTGATTTTATTGTTCTTTAACTTGGGTGATTCATGGGTTATTCGAATCTTTACCAAAAAATTGCAATTTTTTTTGTTTGAAACAAGGTTTTCGAGGATGTGTATTTGGTCACTCTCTAATCACATGGTCAATTTCGTTTTTGTATCTTATTAGTCTTCAATCATGTAAATTTGGATGGTGATCTTGACTGTAATCACGAATTGGGGATTATGAACCTCCTGTTCACCAACTGTTTGTGGAAATGTTTCTGTGAACTAAGACACTGCTAATGAGTCTTTTTTTTAATTGATTTCAGTATAAGATCATGGGAAACTTATTCTGTTTGGTTCAAGTAGATCAATCCACGGTTGCTATCAAGGAAACTTTTGGGAAGTTTGATGATGTACTCGAACCCGGTTGTCATTGTGTCCCGTGGATCTTTGGAAGTCAGCTTGCTGGGCATCTCACACTAAGGATTCAGCAGTTAGACGTCAAGTGCGAGACCAAAACAAAGGTTTTTTCCCTTCCTTTTCTAGGGGTATTACAATTAGTTCATAAGACGTTTTTGGGCGTTCTAACAAGTGTTTTATGACACTTTTGAAATTTAGCTTCCGATAGTGTGTTTATACGACAATATTTGAAAAAGTGTTATAAAAACAAGTTTCTATATAAGACGTGTTCATAGGTTACTTTCTCAAAATCGTCACATTAGGAAGCTAACAGAACATTTTATTTCAACAGTGTCATAAAAACTTGTTAGCACGGCCAAAAGTGTCTTATCAACTTCTTGTAACACTTTTATATATGACACACAATTGTTTTGTCCCATGAACTTAAGTCCTATAAAGCAGTCTATTAGGACATTTAGACATATTTCCGCATCCTAAAAAACCGAATTTTTTGTTTTTCAGGACAATGTCTTTGTGAATGTTGTGGCTTCAATACAATATCGTGCTCTGGCCGAGAAGGCAAATGATGCATTCTATAAACTCAGCAACACTAGGTCCCAAATCCAAGCCTATGTTTTTGATGGTAAAAACCTTCAACAAATTATATACAACTATATATATATATATATATATATATATATAAGCATTTTTCTTTTCATTTTCCCGTTCTTGATCTTTATATGTTGTTGGTAGCTTAAACGCTTAACATGGATACGTATTCTCCACTTCTAGTTATACGAGCTAGTGTCCCAAAGCTTAATCTGGATGATGTTTTTGAGCAAAAGAATGATATTGCCAAGGCCGTTGAAGAAGAACTTGCAAAGGTAACATGATTGAATTAATAGGTATAGTGATTCTATGTTTATAAATCCCGGAATCTTGAGTTGTTCTCTTCGATCTTGTTTATAGGCAATGTCTGCATATGGATATGAGATTGTTCAAACATTGATTATTGATATAGAACCAGATGAGCGTGTGAAAAAAGCCATGAATGAGATCAATGCGGGTAAAGTTCCATCCTTTATGTGTTGGAGTTTTCTCCCTTGTTATGCCTCATTTAAGTTTACGCCCTTTGCATGTTTGGCAAACTAGCTGTTAGCCGAAAAACTCTCAGTTGGCTGATGCCTGATAAGCTAGCTGAAAAAATACCTGTTGATTGTTGGATGAAACTGTAGGTGCCGGCTGAAAAGCTAGTATTGACTGATAAGATCCTGGCTAATAAGCTAGCTGCTGCATATTGGCTATTGATTGATGCTAGTTGTTAGCTGAAAAACTACCAGTTGGCCGAAAAGCTAGTTTATCAGCTCTGTTAGCTGAGAAGCTAGCTGCTAGCTCAAAAACTACCTATTGGCCTAAAAGCTAGTTTATGAGCTCTGTTAGTAGAGAAGCTAGTTGTTAGCTGAAAAACTATGTGTTGGCTTAAAAGCTACTTTGTCATCTCTATAGCTCAAAAGCTAGCTATTAGGTGAAAAGTTGGCTAATAAACTAGTCATGGTTGGTAAAAGGAGCCAAGAAGTTATATGACAATGTGAAATGACCTAAAAGGACATGTTAAAAAATTCACCGGGAAAAAGTGGAAAAAAACCCTGGAACTTTATTGAAACACTACTTTTCAAAAAGTTAGCTTATAAGCTTGCTTATCGTCAACCAAATGTCTTTTTTTTTCAATAAACTTAAAAAACAAGGTAGCTTATAATCAAACACGGCCTTTATCTTTGAGAATTGAGATGTTTGGCATCATTTTTCTTGTCAATTCATCGGTATTAGCTGTTAATGAATCTCTTTGTATGTATCTCCAGCTGCAAGGATGAGGTTGGCCGCTACTGAGAAAGCTGAGGCCGAGAAAATTCTCCAAATCAAGAGAGCCGAGGGTGAGGCTGAATCCAAGTACCTGTCGGGTTTGGGTATCGCACGCCAACGACAAGCCATCGTGGACGGTTTGAGAGACAGCGTGTTGGGGTTCTCAGTCAATGTGCCTGGAACCACGGCTAAAGACGTGATGGACATGGTTCTAGTCACTCAATATTTCGATACCATGAAGGAAATCGGTGCTGCTTCTAAATCCTCTGCCGTCTTCATCCCTCATGGACCCGGTGCGGTTCGTGATGTGGCTACGCAGATACGTGATGGACTTCTTCAGGGCAACTCCGCCAGCTGATCGTTAACTTCGATTCAGCAGATACATTTAAACTTTGGAGGGAAATGCACTGAAAGAATACAGTTTTCTGTTTCTTGTAATTGTGTGTATATTATTCTGATTTTTATATTTGTGTATTTTGTGTGTATATGCCATGTTAGGTTTTACGAATATCATGTTTATAACAGAAACAGTCTAAGCATTGTCTTGTTTACGTCTTACTCTCAGACCCAACATCCGCATGGAGTTGGTGGGTAGTCTCTCTGCTCCTGGCAAGTAGCAATGTCTGCTTATGTCTTGGGGTTGTTTTGTTGTTTTTTCATTAAGTTCTATAGGGATAAAATTGTCTTTGTGGATTAATCTCTTTGTATATTGTGAAAGTTTTTGTTTGGAATGGTTTTTTCATAGATGAAAAGAGTGTTTTTCTAATTGTGGGGTATGTTTGGAAAAAACTTGACTTTCTGCAAAAATCTCGATTATAGAAGCTTACTGAATAAACCATTTTCTATATCATTAAGCCACCTCTAAACAATCATGTATAACTGTGAGTCTCATTAAGCTGCTAATAAACATACCTTTACTCTCCGACCCTACATCTATTCTTTTTGGTTTATGGAAAAAGTGGCAAATCCACTTGTTAGCCGGTGGGATTCCATGAAATCACACACTTGCTACCATGTACCGCAAATTTTCTAAAATTGTTTAAAGATGTAACCATATTTTTTTGTTGGCTGAAATTAATAAATATTTAAACTTAAATTTGAGTTTTAATGATTACTGCTGAACGAAGCATAAAAATCCTTAGTGGACAATATTTTTGTCAATTAATTTAATAAGTGTTTAATTATTACTACTTGGTAATTGTTTTAAGTGGTAGATCTTTTTAATTATTGATAATGTTATGTCAAACTTTTGGAGTTGTGTTATAATTATTTATTATATGAAAAAAAAATGTGATGTCAAATAAGACAAACTCATTTAACATGTAGAGTAAATATGAAATAAAAACAATGAAATATTCGTTACATTAATTCAAAATTCTTTTATAGATAGAGAGATAGATAGAGAGAGAGGGAGAGGGGAGATCAAACAAGAACATATACAGAATAAAAGAGCGACCAAAATCACATGATTCGTACTGAAATCATATACAATTATAGAACACGATTAACGCAACGGTGTATAGGTGACTTGGTTCGCACCATTCTCATGTTTTCTCTTATTCGTTAATGTTCTACTTTAAGCTCGATTTCTTCTCTCTCTCTTTCTCTCTCTCTCTCTCTCTATATATATATATATGTGTGTGTGTGTGTGTTAATAAATCGAGCAAACTACTATATTCCTATATAGACTTTAATTCAATGATAATACTAGGAATTTAGGATGCTATAGTTTATATCAAATTTTGACAGCTACAAAAATGAATTGATTTTCTTCTTGTGTTAATGTTGAATAGTATAAAACAGAAAGATCCAAAACAGATTTTGAGACATTTTTGGCATATCGATGTGTATGAAATTTATAGCAAATATTATAAAGAATTTTAATAATCTATAATATTTTAAATATGATATCAAAGACCGTTCTGTATTATCTAATAAGATATTGAAACAAGACAACGATCCCTTGTTTCTACATATGGCAAATGCACGACAAGTGGGATATAGAACCGAAATTATCCGGAAACGACAGATTGATATATATTATTTTATATCTCTATTTTATTTTTACACTGATAAAAAATATATCTATATTATATTATAAAAAAATTTGGTTTATATATATATATATATATATATATATATATATATTAAAAACTATTATTTTTTTTTAAAAATATTTTATAAATATAAATTATTAATATATACAAGAGTAAATTGCAAATCCCATCTCTATGGTTATATGAAAATTTGGATCATGTCCTCCAAACAAATTAATACATGTATGGTCACCATGTTTTAATTTTATTATAAACTGGTTTTCTTGATCTTATCTCTGTTAACTCAACTCTGGTCAAATTAAGGGTATTTTTGGACACAAATTACAATACGATTCTCATTCAATATTATATTTTAATTTCCACACTAATATCAATACATCAACAAACAACGGTGAATCAAATACAAAAAAAATATACCATTTAAATTAATGATCACAAAACATGCAAAAGTAGTTTAAAAAAACAATGATCGATAATAATAAAATTTGTACATCTTTTTTTTTTATCAAACAAGATCATATTTTAACGATACAAAAATTGTCTTCTAATTAAGTTATAAAAAAATAAACAAACAAAATATTTTAATGAATATGTTGTGTCTTTCTAATTTCTATGATAACTATGGACTTTTCTCTTGATGTAATGTTTGAAATGGAGTGTTTTGGAAACAACCGTGGAGCTAGAAATTCCATTAACCGTTGCACGTCTCTTGGCAAACAATGACAAATTTCTTCGCAAATAACAATGCAAAACGAAGAAATTAAGGATACATCAATAAACACAGCGACGACTTCAACAATTTAATTTGCTCAAACGTCGTTTTCAATTTTAGCAAGTGGCTTCGAGTGATTCAATCTTCTTCCTTTATATAAAGATCTGCGAAGAATCTGCTCCACCATACTACCGCTTTCTTCCGCTCTTGATCTTGCAACCATCTTTTTCCGGTAAACCCATCTTCCCCTCCTCGTAATTTTGAAATTGGATCTTCTTCACTAGGGTTTTCGTGATCGTTTCTTACCTGAGCAATTATAAGGCTGTGGATTTTTTTTTTCTTTTTTTCACTTGGGTGATTTGGAATTTCGGTTACTGGAAGCTCCCATTTACATCTTTTTCTTGATTATATCTTGAAGGGTATGGATTATGTACTGAATTAGTTGTCGTATTAATGATAGTCATGCAAATATCAAGAGAATTCTTTTGTTTAATATTAGGTTTTTGAGAATGTGTATATGGTCAATTTCATCCTCTAATAACATGATCAATTTCGTTTTTTTACCTTATTACCTTAAGATCATTTCAATTTGTGGTTCTGATGTTGGCTGGAATCATGAATTGTTGTTGCAAACCTTTTGTATCCGAGCTGTTTGTGGAAATGTCTCTGTGAACTAAGACACTGCTAATGAATCTTCTTGAATTGCTTTTTTCAGTATAAGATCATGGGAAACCTTGTGTGTTTGGTTCAAGTAGATCAATCCACTGTTGCTATCAAGGAAACTTTTGGGAAGTTCGATGATGTTCTTGAGCCTGGTTGTCATTGTGTACCTTGGATTTTCGGAAGTCGGCTTGCTGGGCATCTCACACTAAGGGTTCAGCAGTTGGATGTCAAGTGTGAGACCAAAACCAAGGTTCTTTTTCTCACCCCTTTTAAATAATAGGTTGCCACTTCTATTTATGTTGATACTAAAATCTGTTTTCATGTGAATGTTTGTTTTCTATAGCTCTTTAAGTGATTATTGATCCCCACACTGTCGGTTTTTGTTGTCTATAGCTCTTAGGGTCTGTTTGTTAGCAACTTAATGAGCTTAATAGGACTCACAGCTTATTCGGTCCGCTTTACATGACTGTTTGGTAGTGGCTTAATCATATAGAAAGCGGCTTATTTCAGTAAGCTTATAGGGGGAGCTTTATGCAGAAAACCAAGTTCTTTCCAAACCTGACCATCCTAGTTAAAACGACACTCCTTTCATCTATGAGAAAACTCTCCCAAACAAAAACCTTCCCAATCTATACAGACAGATTAATCCACAAAGACAACTTTATCCATACACGGCTTAATGAAAAACCAACAACCCATAATTCGACTTATGACTTAAACAGCTAGTGTTTTTGGAAAAAGTATTGTGATTTATCTTTACAAGAAGAGAAGACAAAATTGCATTAAAATGACCAAATTTTCGGTTGCAAATGGCTAGGGATGGCAAAAGTGCCATATAGTGGCCTTATGGATTAGTTGTTTAGAACATGTGGAACCATGTTAGAGCTATTCGGTTGAGCCCTTGAGGAGAGAAGGGAGGGAGGGG